GCCGCGGCTCGCGCGGCGGCCCGCCAGGTCCTTCTTCCATTGCGCGCGCGGCCCAGGGCCACTGCGGCGGCCGTCGAGACGGCTTCGCGAGCGCGGAGCAAGGGGCCCGGGGGCCGCCGCGCGCGCCCCGCCCCTCCCGCGCCCCGTCTCTGGGCGCTGGTGCCTGAATTCTCTTCAGTTTTGTTTCCAGGTCTTCTCATCGAATCATTACCTGTTTTCTCTGGGCGCTCTGCCGGGTCTGCGTATTTCCCATTCGGGTCTCCTGCGCGACCCTTGCCTGCTCTCGTTCGCCAACCGAATGTTTAGTAGTCAGATTTCGTTGGCCCCGCCCTGCATCTGTATATTTCCTGCGTGGGCGTGGCGCAGGTCCCCATCAGATCTGTCAGTGCCCATTGCAAGCCTTTCCTTTGCCGCGCCGAGGAGGCCAGTGCGCTGCGACGCGGGAAGTGTCGTCAGAGCAGCTCCTGGCGTCGCGGCAGGTTACTTACCGAGACAAGCGCTCTGCGCAATTTCATACAAAATCTGCCTTCGGACTGCCTCGCGCAGACAGCAGGGCCCCCTTGTTCGCGGGAAAGATGCAGACCCCCCCGGGACTTACAATACCTGAGGGCATAGTTGGGCCATCTTAGGGCCATCCTGATGCGGCACAGGCTCGTGGTGGGGGCCGGGTCGCGATTCCCTCCCACCTCCTGGGGCACCCGAGGATGCCTCCAGGCGCGCTCTTGGGACGCTCTTGGGGCGCTCTTGGGATGCTCTTTGGGCCGTCCGTAGGCTGTCGCGGGCCTCTCTTGGAGCTCTCTTGGACCACCTCAGGGCCACCTTGAGGCGGCACGGGCTCATGGGACGCGGCAAAGCACAGAGGCAAAAGTCCTGGATTTCCTCAGGTCTTGGGGCGATGCCTGCTTCTTCGGGGGCTCGTGTCAGTGCTCTGGTGGGCCGTCTTGCGGTTCTTTCTGGGTCTACTGTAGGCATGCCAGAGGTGTCTTGAAACATCTTGGGCGTCTATGGCAGCACGGAGGCGTCCGAGTTCGGTGTCAGAGGTTCGGAGAGCTCCAGAGATGCGCAGGGGAGCTCGACCCTCCCCCCCTTCAAATGGGATTTTGGACTCCCGGGGAGGGGGACAGGAGGAGGGGGGCAGCCAATGGTCTCGCGCGTCTTGTCACCCCTGGCCCCCTGGCAAGCAGGAGTCGGCGGCTTCAGAGTTCTTGCGGTAGGGCGACGACTGCACATCGATCTCAGGCCCAGGATGGGTCCAGCCAGGATCGGTGTAGGTGTGCGGATGGCGTCCGCCGAGCCACGGGCGATGGCACCGCCCCTCCCCCTGATGGAGGTCGGCCCCAAGGTCGGCGAGGCTCGGACGGCGCCACAATCCGACAAGCCGCTTCCGAACTGTTTGTCAGACCCGTTCCCGACAGCAGCTGGGCGCGTTGTCGTTTTCCCGAGATCCTGCGTATCGGCGGTTCTGATTGGAGCTCCGTTCTGTGAAAGTTGGGGCCGACGTGCCTAAACCGGACGCTGGCAGAGCGGGCGTAGCTGCGGGTGGGCGGCAAGGAAGCGCCTGCCCGTGCCAGAGTTACGCCGAGTGGGGGCTGGGGGGATGGGGTGCGAGCGAGCCTCGCCGACGACGCCACCTTCTGTGTGGCGACTGTTCCCCTTCTGCCCGCCAGCTTTGCCCCCCATCTCTCTCTCTTTCTCTCTTCGTCTCTGGCTCTTCGTCCCTGTCTCTGTCTCCGTCTCTCCCGTCTCTGCTGCTGCTCGTGCTGTTGCTGTTCCTCCCCCTGCTCCCCTGCTCTTCGTCCGCTTGCTCCTCCCCCCTTCTCCCCTCTCCTTTTCCCTCTTCATCTCTCCTCCTCCTCCTCCCCGTCCGCCTTGTCCACCTCCTTGTGTCCTCATCCCATCCTTATGTTTCTATTTCTCCTCCTCGCCACTCAGTAGAGCTTTCCTTTGCACGGAGGTGCCTCCACTGCACAGTCTTCCCTTTCCGTTCCCACCTCGTGCCGCTGTTACACCACTTTTATCCCCTATCGCACTCGCTTCCTTCAAGGCTCCTTTCCAAATGCCTTGCCCGATCTCGCTCGTCCTCGCATGCTCTTCTCCATTAGCCTTCAACCTTCCCTTTCTGGTGCTCCGTCTTTCACGTCGGCCTCCTCTAGGGTGCCTCCTTGCCGTCATTCTACCCAGCCTGCCTTTCCCCCCCATCGTTCTTGTGATGCAAATGCTTCGCTGTCCACCTCGCCGTGTGCTTCACCTCCGCGTGGCCACCTCGTTTCACGCGGTTCTCCACCTGTCCTCTGGCACGTTGGTCCCTCTCCCCGAGCTGCAGCTGTGCCGAGCAGGGCAGCCGTATCCCCATCCCCTTTCCGGCCAGTAATTCGGACCTGCCTTCCCACTTTTCGTCTCCATGCCGGTGAAGCCACCCCTCTTTGAAGAGCTCTCTTTCAGCGCGAAGGGACGCAATGAGGATAACAAGTTCACGCGTGGATGGGGGGCATTGACACACGCGGGAGGATCAGGCGAAGGCAGACGTGCATGAGGTGGAGGAGGAGAATCGGGCGGGGAGGAGGATGATGAGGAGAGTCAGGATGAGGAGGGGGAGGGACATGCATGATAAGGAATAGGCAACGGATTATGATGATGTTGGTGATGATGATGCCCGTTTCCGAAAGCTAAGCCCCGACCACGGCCCCAACTGTCCAGGGAG